TCAGAGTGGCCGGTGATGGCGACACGACGGATGTGGCGGCACGGTGGCGACGGTGACGCACGGTTTAGCACCAAACAAGTCTCCGACGGGGTTCCTTTTGCTTCCTAGGGCTTCGACGGACACAGCTAGGCCAAAAGGGTGTAGCTTTAGGGTTCAACGAGGCCCACCATGGCCTTAGTGGCATGGCGGTGGCGGTGGCGGTGGATCTCGGTGGAGCAGCTATGCTCTTGATTAGAGCCAAAGGTGGTTCCTTTCGCTCGATTGGGGTTGCCAGGGATGCAATGCGAGCGGCACCGATGACCATTTGTCATGGCGGAGTCCGCACCGTGGTCGCAGACGTGGTGGAGCTCCAGCGAGCGTCCGGGTAGGGCGATCAAGGGCCAAGGAGGGGCTTTTCATCCAACTAACTACACTACGAGGTGTGCAGGGTCACGGTGGAGCTCGATGGCACCTCCTCGACGCGTGAGGCGGCTAGAGTTGGTCAAAATAGCTCTGGCACAGCGGTGGTAGAGCGCACGGCCGCGCCGGCATTGCAAGCATGACTGGCATACCTAGGGCATCTTAGGGCAGCGTGGGTATGCTATGTGCATCCTGTAGCAAGGCGGAGCTTGCCACGGTGGCAGCTCTACCTCTACCATCCTAGATCCACCGGAACAAGGCTCCACCGCGATAGGGTCTGGCCGCGGCGAGCGCTGGTGTCTGCAGTGCGCCAATAGAGGCGTGCCCAAGCCTAGGTGGCTTGGCATCACTGCACTACGATCGTTAGGCATGTGCGTGTCTGCGTGGTGCTCGGTGACGGCCCAAAACTCCACCTTTGGGCCTTCTAGGGCAAAGAACACGGCGGCGGCCATGGCACGAATGCCGACGAACCAGAGTAGGGGTTCGAGGGCTCACCGTGGGGCTTGAAAGGGGCAAGGATGGTGGTGCAGTGGTGCGTCACTATAGTGGTAGGGCGGTGCAGTGCAATGCCGAGCAGCTGAGCCGGTGTAGACGATTAGGGCGTCGTCTCCGGTTCCGGCAGTGGCTCCATGGCGACGGGTGGCTCGAGTCGGCGACGCCTCTTCCTCCTCCTCCTTGGCTGTCCTCTCTATCCTAGCATGGTGGTTGTGGCCACCGGTGGCGATGGGGTGGATGGAAGAGGCTAGGGCACCGGAGGCAGGGCTTTGTAGCTTGAGCTCACCCATGGCGAGCGGCGGACGATAGGGAAGGGTTGGGGGGACACGTGTAGGGTGATCGGGGCTCCAAGCTAGGGTTTGGGGTTCGGCGGGAGCACGCGGGGTCCTTCGTGCCTCCAATTTGGAGCGGCGGCAGGTCATGGGTAGGTTACGGCGGTGGCAAGGGCGCAAGGCCGGGCCATGACGTCACTGGTAGGCGGCTCCAACTAGGGAAGGGCGTGGTGGCATGGATCATCGATGTGGCGACCATCCACAATGTGCCCAAGGCGGTTGGGCATAGGGACGGTCGGGATGGCCTTTTGCCATCTTCAGCTAAACGCCAGTGGGCGGGCGTGGGGGAAAAAGTAGAGGAAGAAGGGAGGGAAGGGGATGATAGGCAGGCCCCGGGGGTCCACTTGTCAGTGGCTCGGAGAGAGGGAATAGGTGCGGGCGCGGGCGTAGGCCCTTCTGGTGTGGGGTGGCGGCTTTGCCTGTTTACGCCAACGCGGGTGCGAGTTGGGCCATGGCGGTAGGCTAGGCCGGCAGGGGGTGTGTGGTGCAGTCTTGAGGGCAAGGCTGGCTAGGCAGTGTGGCCGGCTTGGGCGCTTCAAAGCTAGTTTGCTCTTTCCCTTTTCTTCTCCATTTCCTTTCTGCTTTTCTATTTCTAATTTCTACTTTCTTTTCTCTAAACATGAAGGCAATGATGTAAACCAAGCAAAAGATGTACCGGTAAGAGATAAAGGAAAATATTGCACATTCATAAAATCTGAGGTACTAGCTTCACCCATTTGAGCAAGAAACATGCTAACATGTTCCATGGTAGACTTGTTATCATCACCACTAAATTATAAAATTCTGGTACCCTCCAACCATCGAATGCTTTCAAGAAATCAAAAGTGTGGAGGGGAACGGCTGATGATAGGTGTTCCTACTAGGTTTAATTTGCACACCCAAGCTACACTCAAGAGATCTAGACAATTCATTCTTAAACCGATTCATAGCTTCATTAAAATCGGTAATGGGAGCTACGGGAGCAACATTAAATGTAAGGATTTGACTTGGTGACTTCGGCGGGTTAGGAAGAACCGTGTTAAACCCCGCCGAAGCTCTATTCACTGTTGCTCCTTGATCTGTTCGCATGTTAGGACCCGAATTTTGTGCAAAGGTGAATGTTGGTAAAGCTGTGCTAGTTTCACCTAAACTGGCCTTATCAGTTTCAAATGCTGAAGGAGCTGATTTGGCTTTGCTAGCTACTGGAAAAGGACTTTGATTCTCATAAAAATTCAAAGGCATACCAAATTGAGGTTGCTTGACGCCCGATTCATCACAATCGGTCATCTTGCCCTCCAACTTATCCATACGTGCAAAGACTATACTAGCAAGATGTTGAAGATTGCTAGTATTGATATTCCTCTCATCTTGCAACATCTTAGCGTAATTGGCATGAGTAGGATAAGGATTGGTTACCTCTTCATTGGCATTATCAGTGGCCATTACCTCGGGCGAAGTAGATGCAGAAGCGGTAGAATCCCCGAAGTTAGGCTCACGGTATTAGGAGACCTTGTCGCACCGATCTATGGTACAGCTCTCCAAGAAAGCCTTCACATCGGCATCGAGCTTGGCATGAAGCTTTTTGGCAAAGCTCATCAGAAAGCTCATCCATGGATGTCAGATGGTTGACGTTCTTAGGATTGAAGGGGTTGGTCTTGTCGTTGTCCGACATGTCGCTAGTGGATTGGATCTTACTCTTTTTCTTCTTCCCTAGTGGAGTCGCCAAAAGAGTGTGTTGACGCGCGAAAGGTGCTCCGGATCACACACCAACAAGGGCTAGCATGCCCGCAGTCGACACACGACCTTCAACGCAGCAAGAACACAGCGAACCGATGAAACCAATCTAGAGGCCGGTTAGGCCGATGTCGAGCCCGTTCTTCGCTTGATAAACTCCCGAACTTCTCCCGGGAAGACCCATCGGGCAGGAGCACGTGGAGGGTGTCCTACTAGAAGCACACAAGATCTTGATAAGTAGAAGTTGTAGGAGTGCCTTCCTAGTGCTTCAGTAGCTGCCTAATCAGTGGCTAACCTTAAGATGGGGTTCAGAAGTCCATGGGAGGACCTCTCCTTATATAGTGCTGCTGCACACTAGGGCGACTCACTATTAGGCCGGTTGGGCATTCTTCATGTCAAGTCTGGGTCCCTGATCAAGGCATAGACCACCCATTCTTGTCTTCTACCTCGGTGTTTTCACACCTTAGTCAATAGTAAATTTCTTCATTGAGTGTTCACACACTCAACTTATGATCAGCCCAACATAAAACACTCAATCAGATGCTATTAGCAAGACCATTGAGATAGAGACTGAAGAACCAGAATTCGTGATGGCTGGTTTGATGATACAAGAATTCTTCTTGAAAATTGAAGATGCGTCTACGTACGTTCAAGAAATTTAGATGAACATGTCAAAGAACGATGTTATCCGAAGACGATACATACCCAGGCCACGGTTGGATGCACATCAAGTGCACACATACTCAAAGTATTTGATGAATAGTTTGGCCTTTAGTTAAGAGAGAATTACCACCAACTTACATGAAGAGTGCCATGTAGCTAATTAATGCATTGATAGCGAGTTTTATTGCAGGTATATATTGAAATGGCGCTGTTGACACTCAAATTGGGCCTAGGCTGATTTTAGAATTGGCCCATACTAGTTTTGGCCCAATTTAAGGAAAATTCTATGAACCGACCTGAAAGTAGTATCACATTGGTTTCTCACCGGGATAAGAGCACCCCTACTCCATATAAAATATGGGGTATATGGCCAATTGAGGTTTCCAACTGCACAATCGAACTTTTATCAATATATTACCCACTTTTTACCCCTTATCGTCTCTTCCAGCCCCCCTGCTGTCCTATATGTCCCTCGACGGGATTTGTGGGCGTTCTAGATGGTCTTACCGATCCTAGAACACCCCCGCACTGTGTCTCCCAGACGGGTCTTCCCAGAAGGCATTCGTGGGTTTATCGGGCGAAGAACGAGTGTCCAATCGGCCTCGTCAACCTACTAGTCGGCCTCGCCACTGGGACCTCCCTTTGCTGCGTGTTTCGGCCGTGTGTGGCCTCGGAGATCTAGCCTCTACGGTGTGGTGACCGAATAAGCGCCAATAGGCGCTAACTGCATGTCGTCACTCAACTACATCAGAAACTCATTATTATAAATCTACACAGGAAAACAGAGTTTTAAAAGGCCAGAGGAAACAGTAAAATTTTGAAAATATTTTGATGAGGCGAGTGGCTTAAACTGGCTGCCTCAGGGAAGCATTATATTTAGGCCTTATATTTATGCGCAACTTAAATCTACCACTACTAGAAATATATAAGCTAGAGCCAGTAAGGGCTCTACCAAACGGGCCAATATATTCCTTCTTTGATGCCTGTTTTTTTTTTCTTTTGTGCGACAAGGCCAGGCATATATAGATTGAATTGCCGATATGTATGCTTGCTGACGCCTATATATATGATGACGCGGAACCACAAGGAAACACATCAATAGCCCGTGGCAGCATGTTGGCAACATATCCAGCCATGTTTCTCTTATTGCCACTGCTATTACATGTGCTTGTGTCCGGTCCTTCTCTGGTTGTCTGTGCAGCAGCAGATGCCGAACTCCAGTACACAGTCGTAGCAATGAGCACCCTGAAACCAGGAGCCGCATGCTTGGGACACAGGGGTATGTTATGTACAGTATATATGTTGATGTCATGCTATATATGGTTCGTTTTCCTTGTGTGTATATACATATCATATACTTATTATTATTAATCAATTCCCGTTCCGTTCGTTTGCACTATGACGATAGTGACTCCGCCCGCCAATGTAAGCTGGGTACCGTTGGATTTCCAGCACGGTCCGTGCTCGTCGTCGGACTCGAACGCCGCTGCCCCTGCCGGCGTGCAGCCGTCGTTGGTGGATCTACTTCGCCAGGACCAGCTACGCGCCGATGATGTCCAGAGGAGGCTGCGGTCTCCCAATTCGACCTATGACGAAAGCAAGGGACAGGCGGGTACCTCCGGCGAGACGGATACCAGCTACCAAGCAAAAGTCCGCGCTCAATGGGGCTCGAGAACGCGGAACCGGCCAACAAATGAGAAGCAACAGGGCTCTCAGGTGAGCATTGATCCAGCGGCGACCAGCGGCGACGGTGGGCTCCTTCCGGGAGTGATCCAGACGGTGGTGCTGGACACGGCGAGCGACGTGGCGTAGGTGCAGTGCGTGCCTGCCCCGTGCCGCCGTGCCACCCCAGACGGACACCTTCTACGACCCGACCAACTCCGGCACGTACGCCGCCTTCCCTTGCAACTCCCCGGCCTGCAGGCAACTCGGCCCCTACGCCAACGGCTGCATCAACAACCAGTGCCAGTACCGCGTCACCTACCCCGACGGCTCGTCGACGTCGGGCACGTACAGCTCCGACCTCCTGACGCTGAACCCAACCACCAGGGTGAGCAAGTTCCAGTTCGGGTGCAGCCACGTGGACCAGGGCAACTTCGACACCCAGACCGCGGGGATAATGGCGCTCGGCGGAGGCCCCGAGTCGCTGGCCTCCCAGACCGCGGCCACCTACGGCAGCGTGTTCGCCTACTGCCTCCCGCCGACGGCGAGCTACCTCGGGTTCTTCGTGCTCGGCGCCCGCGCGTGGCGGCGTCGAGGTTCGTGGTGACGCCCATGCTCAGGGACCCGCGGGTGCCCACGTTCTACCGCGTGCTCCTCCGCGACATCGTCGTCGCCGGGCAGCGCCTGAACGTGGCCCCCGCGGTGTTCGCTGGGGTCCGTGCTGGACTCGCGCACGGCCATCACGCGCCTGCCGCCCACGGCGTACCAGGCGCTGCGCGCGGCGTTCAGGAGCAGGATGAGCACGTACCGCATGGCGGCGCCCAAGGGGATCCTGGACACGTGCTACGACTTCACGGGCGTCCGTAGCGTCAAGGTGCCGAGGATCGCCCTGGTGTTCGACCGGAACGCCGCCGTGGAGCTCGACCCGTCGGGGATCCTCTTCAACGGCTGCCTCGCCTTCGCCGCCAACGCCGACGACCGCATGGCCGGGATCCTCGGCAACGTGCAGCAGCAGACCATCGAGGTGGTGTACGACGTCGGTGGCGGAGCTGTTGGCTTCCGCCGCAACGCGTGCTGAGCCTGAGCCCTGAGCACGAGCGTCGACGTGCAGCTGCTGCTTTCATTCAGTCCATCTCTTTTAGTACTATTTATGGCCCGCCTGTCTTTTGCCCAAGTCGTACAGTACTGTACGTATCTACTACAACTCTACAAGCTAAGCTAGCTCATACGGAGATGAGCTAGTTTTTTTATCCAATGCAAATAAAGGCAAGATTGCAAGTTGCAATCCAGCTTATTACAGGCTTAAGCACATAAGCTTACGTAATTAAAGCCTGCCAAATTTGTTGCTCAGGCTCCCTTTCTATATATGGAAGTAGAAGGAGCGCGTGTTTATGGTCGTCCTTGATGAAGCATCATCTGTACATGTAAGTGGTGGAGAATGAATATCATCGCATGCAGCCTCGATCAGTGTTAAGCTAAGACCCGCGCCTACCAAGTCGCATGAAATTTTAATTTTGTGCCAAATACGCATTTGTGTGTTTCCAAGAATTCGAACCAGAGAATCTTCCGCCTCGCGCTAGCCTTTCTTACCACTACACTGCAAAAGCTTTTTTTTTTAAATCAACATTAGAAAAACATTTATTTTGAACCATCAATCGAGACTATTTTTAGTGCTGGTTCTTTTAAGTCGACCATCTCTAGAAATCATTTTCAGAGAGTTGGTCGAGTTAAGCAACTGCTTCTGAAAATAAACTATACGATAACTTCTCACGAATATTTAATTAGACCCCTATATGGTTTAAATTGAAAAAAAATCTGGTCGAGCTCTATAATTTCTATACAAAATTTGTCCACCGATTTCATATAAAAAAAGTTATCTATTTCATATACTCGTCATTTTGAATCGGATTTCTTGTCGTCCAATCGGTTCGAGCTCTTGTTTTTTTTATAAAGAAATGGCTTTATTAATTCAAGATCATTACATCAAATTAATACAATAACTATGATCTACTTCCAGCCTTGGCATAACGCACACAGCTTATACAAAACAGGAAAAGAAAAACCTGACACTCTAGTGCCTATAGATTGTCATCCATGCGCAGAAAAACACCACGGTAACTGTTGTAGTGTCACCGCAACAAAAGCCTACGAAGTATGCTTCAGGGGGATAACAACCTATGTGCGGAGCCAATATAATCGAATATACCACCTACAAAGGAGAATAAGAATGTTTCTCTTAAAAAATCAAGTAATTTCTGTATAACCAAAGTGGCAACAAGTAGCTGCCACTCCTTAGCAGAACTAAAGGTTTTAAGTCCCTTCCAATTCTCCAAAGCCAACTTCCGAATATATGAGAAATATGGGAAGATTGAGGAATGCTTAAAGCAATATGCACTACTGCAAACAGAGACTTTGTCGAGTGCAAAATTCTTTGCCGAGTGTCAGGCACTCGGCAAAGACCTTCTTTGTCGAGTGCTGCACTCGACAAAGAATTGCACTCGGTAAAGATTTCTTTGCCGAGTGCCGGGCACTCGGCAAACACGGGCACTCGGCAAAGGACTTCTTTGCCGAGTGCCAGACTCTCGGCAAAATCTCTACACTCGGCATAGGCTGCCCGTGAAACGGCGTTCGGTCACGGCCTTCTTTGCCGAGCGCCAGCAGTTAGGCATTCGGCAAAGATTTGATTTTTTTAAAATTCTTTGCCGAGTGCCCCAGATCTGGCACTCGGCAAAGATTTAATTTTTTTTAATTCTTTGCCGAGCGTCTCAGATCTGGCGCTCGGCAAAGAATTTTTTTTTAAAATACTTTGTCGAGTGCCCCTGGGACGGCACTCGGCAAAGATTTAATTTTTTATTATTATTTCTTTGCCGAGTGCTCCTGTGGATGCACTCGGCAAAGAGGAAATTTTTAAAAAAAAATTAAAACACTCTTTGCCGAGTGCCTGATGGCTGGCACTCGGCAAAGACACCCTTTGCCGAGTGCCATGCCCCGGCACTCGGCAAAGTATTTTTTGTTTTTTTTGTTTTTGGCCTTCAATTTTTTTGTGCAGCCCTTTTAAAGCACTAGGAACTCCTAGTTACAATTTGGGGATTTTTTTGTGGCTTTTTGATATATTTACTTTATTTCGTTTACTTGAATTTTTTCGGAAATTAGAAATTTGAACTGCACGTGGTACGAATAATGGAGTTTAATGATTCGAAAATTGATAGTCATGTTAGTGAGTGTTGTGAGAGGACGTATCCAGGAATGGACCCGAAATTTCGGACATCTTGTTCACGAAACATGTCCGCGAAATTGCGTGTGAAGTGTTTTTAAATTCTATAAAAAGCAAATGAAGTCCGAAAATCATGAAACTTGTTGAGATGTCGTGATATCATATGTGGAGGCTATGATAAAAATTTCAGAAGATTTCATGCACGTTGTCACGTACGATGCTTACAAACCAGGACATCTCTACATCACATGTGCCCTGGCCGCGCCCTTTGCCCGACCGCGCCCTGCCCCCGGCCGCGCCTCGTGGACCGCCCGCCCCGACGCCGTCCGTGCCTGACCCCATCCCCGACTCCGCCCGATCCCGACGCCGCCCGCCCCTACCTCGTCGCCCGTCAGGTATGCCTTCTCACTTATTATTGTCGAGGTAGTGGTAGTTGTAGTAGTATTAGTTGTACTAGTGGTAGTAGTAGTACAACTAGTGGTAGTATTAGTAGTAGAATTAGTGGTAGTAGTAGTAGAAGTAGTGGTAGTAGTAGTAGTAAAACTAATGGTAGTAGTTGTAGCAATAGTGGTAGTAGTAGTAGAACCAATGGTAGTAGTAGTAGCAATAGTGAAAGTAGTAGTACAAGTAGTGGTACTACTTGGATATATTCTTCTGCATGGATTGATATCCAAACTACATGGCTTCTGTTGAGCCATATGTGCTTGTCGGCCATCGTGCCGTTGTTTCTTGCAGGTTTTGGAAACCTCACCGTGTAGGGGAGGTTCTGCCGAATTTTTTTGTAAATGATAATATTTTGTTCCATTTTTATAGAGAAGAGCCCGTCGGAGTTGAGTCGGAGTTCTCGCCACCGTGCCGGTCTGCCTGCACCACATCATCTCGCCACTGCACCGACCCGCCACAGCCCCGCTAGCCTGACTCCGCTGCCACCCTAGGTATAACCCCTCTTTTCGTATCATTGTCGTAGATCACGTAACCCAGTTAGGCATCTCCCGTTCGAAAGAGATACGGTTGGAGGTATGCAGATGTTTGCATATCTATGACCGTATCTATTTCGGATTGTCCACGCTTTTTGGACAGCCCGTGGATGCATAGATGGGTTAGTTCCCATGTTCTGCTCTGGTCCGAGACAGAGTTTTGGCATCACCTCCCTGTTGTTCTCCGGATACACACTCTTCTTTGGCAAGACGTGTATCTGGAGAACAGCGGGGAGGTGCTGCCGAAATTCTGTCTCGGATAGGAGTAGAGCATGGAAACTAACCTCATCTACGCATCTGCAGGTGGGATTAGGACCTATCCTCACCTATTAGATAGTAGGAACACCATGTAGATGCAATTGATGGTTACATTACTCGCTGATACATATGTTAGAGGATGGATGACCGTCAGTGGATGTACATGGGCTGGAGAAGTTAGAGTGATTACACCACGGAATGGATGAACAAGACCGATGCTTTCTTGAATAGTGCATTTGGCAACGCTGCTAAAGGACATTGCCTAGTTTTGTGTCCCTGCAGCAAATGTGGAAACAGGAGAAGGGTAAACAAGGTGGAAATGGGTAAACATCTTATGAAGAATGGATTTACGCCGGACTACACCCGGTGGGTCCACCATGGTGAAGCCCATTGTATGAGAGGAGGTGGTGAGACCACGGGTGCAGGCTTTTGATGCTGATGCCGGGGTAGCAGACATGTTAGATGACTTTCACCAAGGACAGTTCGATGAGGGACGTGAGAAGGAGGAGATGGAGGCAGCCGCACAGGCGTTCTACGATATGATGGACTCGGCACAGAAGCCCCTTCACGATCGGTCAATGGTGTCTCAACTGGATGCCATTGGACGCTTAATGGGGTTGAAGTTCGAGTTAAACTTGAGTCGACCTGGCTTCGATAAGATGTTGGCCGTGATTGGCACCCTGCTTCCGGAGGGCCACATTCTGCCAAAGAGCATGTACGAGTCACAGAAACTCCTTCGAGCACTTAAGATGCCGTATGAGCAGATACATGCTTGTTCGAAAGGGTGCGTCCTATTTAGGAAAGAACACGAGCATGCAAAGTTCTGTCCAAAGTGTCCTATTGATTCGTTTTGAGATTAAGTTGGTTTAATTTGATCTTCTTATATGTCCAATACTTGATGACGTGTAGATGATTCCCTGGTGGTGCCAAGCGTATCCCGAGTGCTGGGCGATGATGGTGGACAGGTGGTTCACAGAGGAGTACCTCAAGATGCACAGGGATGCCCGGGACCGTCGTTTGCTGATGCAAAGTCCAGCACACCATCAAGGCAGCCGCAACCTCGCCGGATACAAACAAGCATGGGTACGCGAATTGATTTATCTATTGTCACGCTCAGTTCTGTCTGATTTCTAATCATCGTGTTGTCTTTCTCGCAGTCGGCGTCACATAGTGGCAAGGCTTGCTCGGACTTTTAGGCATGCTGTATGGCCCACAAGGGCAAGGCGACGTCCGACGTCTCCTTCAACCTGGAGGACCCGCCCGAGGCATACACGAACTCGAGCGTCCACTCCTGCATCAGTGAGTACACTGAGGTGGCGAGGTCGCTCCATGGGTCAGACCACGATCCAAGCACCCAAGACTTTGATGGAGAGGCCGTCATGAGGGCGGGGCAAGGCAAGAAGCATGGGCGGTTCTGGCTTGGCGATGGCGTCATCGACACGGCCTCTACTCCCTCTCTCTCCCAGATCCAAGCACAGAGCACGAGCGAGAGCCCGGCCATTCGCACATGGCCGATCGCTGCACAGTACCGGGTTGACGCACTCGAGGTTATTCCTGTTTTACTCGTCATACATTGATCTTTACACACCTTAATTAGCTTTGCATTACTGAAACATTTGAGTCAAATAT